GATGAGATGTTAAACCGAGGTCCTGACTCTCTGTGGTCGTTAAAAATCCCAGGATGTCCTTCGAAAAGAGTAGGGGTTTAACCCCGGCATCCTGGCCAAATCTGCCCACTGGCCTTTGTCCATCATGGCCTCCTAACCATCCCCATATTTAATTGGCTGCATCACTGTCTCCTCTCCACCAATCAGCTGGTGTGTGGTGTGCGGTCTGGTGCAAAATGGCTGCCGTCGCGTCATCCAGGTGGATGCTGCACACTGGTGGTGGATGAGGAGATTCCCCCCACTGTGTAAAGTGCTTTGAGTGCCCAGAAAAGTGCTATATAAATGTAAGGAATTATTATTATTATTATTATTATTAAAGTGTTAACCTATAGTATCCTATTCATCAATACCTGGCAATGTTGCTTGGACCTATATAGGCTATATGTCATCATATTCATATTCGAACCATTTTTGATCAATTTTTAAATATATGGTGGTTGTACAAGACATGTAGGATTCCTCTGCGTACCACTAGAAGGAAGCCTGCGTACCACTAGTGGTACAAGTACCACAGTTTGAGAACCACTGTACTAGCACATAGATCAGTAACATCATTGTGTCACCAGCCTAATGTCTACTCCGCAGTTTGTGTCTGTGGTCCTTTAAGATCAAAAATCACTGTTAACGTGGTAGACTCTTGATCAGAGTAGTGTCTTAATCATATTAAAATCAGAGTATTGGTGTCCATGTAAACGTACTCAGATAATGTGTCAGATGATGTCACAAGCTGTCAAAGACAGTCCATTCCTCACCTGTAAGGTGATTCCATGAACCCTCACATTTCATAAGTTTGATGTGTTTCTCTCACACGCAACTTTTGTAAATCGTCTGCTGCATGTTGCTGTGTCAGAATCCTTGCTTGTAAAATATAGCCATACTTAAGAATGCTTAGTTTAAGCAAATTAGATGAACGCTATCATGCGTGTTGATGAAGTGAGTCGCTCGCCGTATGCGCCGTACTGCGCGCTTTGCTTTTTATACGCTACAATAACAAACGCCTGACATCGCAGATATCCGTATCCCTCACAGCTGTTTAGAATTAAACATTTAGAGATGGTGTGACAAAACGCTTACTTGCATGTGCCTTTAACGCACCCTTTTGTGCTTGTTAAGGGTGTCAGCGGATGCGCCGCTCTGAGCCGCAGCATGGCGCGCACATGACAGTTGATTACACACCAGACGTGCACATTCGCATGTTATTTAAAATGAAGCTATTCAGATGGCGCACTGCGGCATGGCAGAAATATAAACAGTCATGAGTCGTGCCTGGGCGCAGCAGACAGCCGCTGACTTGCGAATTCATGCCGCTGGACAACGCTACTGGTGCGCGACCTGCTTTACGTTCTTGTTTCAGCACCAAAATTAGGCACCGAAATTCATATGCTGATTTGTAAGGGTGTCACGATCCTCCAAATCCTCGATTCGATTAAATTTTCGATTCTAAAGGCACGATTCGATTCGATTTTCGATTATTAATAATTAATTAATTAATACCAATTAATTATTTGTAGCCTACCGTTTAAACTACCTGACCTGCATGGTCTTTGTTTTACCCATAAACAAATCATACAGTAAATGAATAAAGGCAAGATACACACATAATTACCACCTGTCAATCACTTTTTCTGCGGGACTCGTGAATAGGCAGTGATCTTTGTCGTTATAATGGCGTCGGTAAAAAAGACGCACAACCAACAGGAACCAGCCAACAGTATCTGAGGTGTTCGCTAAAATGACTAAGTACAAGTGAGTGAAAGATTGAAGCAGTCTACTGATCCTCTGCTCTGACTGCCTGAACCCACTGTCTCGAGCCTATGGCTGTGTGCGTGCATCTGTGTCTGTGTGTGTCAGAGGTAGTGAGGAAGGAGGGCTGCTCAGAAATGCTACACGCCACTGTGGATGTCAAATCGTTGTCGTTCTAAAATGCCACTTAAAAACAAAGACAGTGTAAACAGGGCCTGAGTGTGTACTTTCC